GAGGGACTTACGGGGTCACGCAGATGAACTTGGTCTTCAGGTATGGGGCGGCACCTGGAAGGGGAGCGGGGGCTTACTGTGGGGACCCGGTCGCCCCCATGGCCATGCGGTGCTTGTTGTGCGGCTCCTTCCCTGCTTCCCGAGCTGTGGACGGCTCAGCCGGGTCCCCCGGCCCTCGAGACCTCGGGACCTGGCACGGTGTCCCGCCAGTCACCGCCCGCACTCGGGCTCTCCTTCCCTGTCCTCACGGAACCTGCCCGGCTGTCAGTGCGGGGACACCACAGACAGAGGCACCGTGTGTGGTCCCAGCACGCGGCTGAGGCAGGAAGATCGCCAAGTTCTAGGTGACTCGGCAAGACTCTGTCTCCAAGGGAGAAAAGCGGGCGAGCGCGCAGCACACACTGAGGGGCGCAGGACCTGGGTCGGCGCCTGGCTGGGGACAGGGCCGGGAGCGGGGATCTGTCCTCGATCTGTCCTCACCGGGCGCGGGGCGGGGAGGCCGGTTTGACAGCCGACTGCTAGGCTAGAAGGCCCAGCGGCGCCAGCAGGGGCCTCTGGGGAAACCAAGTCAGGGAACAGGGTGCCACCCACAGACACTGACCGGCCTGGTGCAGAAGCAAAGGGGCCACTGAGCGTCCGCGCCTGGCACACATCCCCGGCTCGGTCGGGCACACAGAGGAGGGTTCATGGGGTGGGGGGCGGACGAGGACACTCAGCTCGGCAGCAGGGCCAGGATGTGGAGCCACGGAGAGACGGCGAGGAGGAAGAGAGGCCCCGGGCAGGGGCGGGAGCAGGAGCCAGGGGCTCTGGCAGGCGGAGGGGGCTGGGCGCCCCGACCTCCACCCACGGACACAGGCAGGAAGCGGTGCCGGCAGCCCCGCCAGGCAGGGACGCCTAGGTCTCGGGGACAGGCCTGTCGTCCCTCGCAGCAGGAACAAAGCCTTGTGGGGCCCGATCACATCTCCCAACTGAAGCAAGGTGTGCAGGGAGATAAGGACGGGCAGGAAGCGAGCGCAAGTCGGCTTCGCCAGGGCGGAACTCGAACTCAGCGTCAGAACAAAGGGGCGGGGACAGCCTGCGCCAGAGCTGGGGTCCCCTCCCCTCCCCTCCCCGGCCCAGCCCCTCCTGGGACAGAGGGGGTGGCGGGGCTGCGCCCAGGGCCATGAGGACAGAAACAGCCTCGGGACACCCTGAGAGAGCCCTGCGGGGAGTGGGTGCCTGGCAAGTCGGCCTGCACCGGTACAGACAGGCACAGGGTCAGGGCAGAGCGCAGTGGGACAGGCAGCCCAGGCTGGCAACAACGGCGGGGCGCCCCAACACACATACGGACACCCCCGAGACCGCTTCCACCAGAAGCCATCTGTGGCCCAGGGACACCGGCAAGCAGGGAGCAGGCTGGACTCCAGCAGGGCCCGAGCGTGTGCGTGTGGGTCCCCCACAGACGGGACAGGGACCGGTGGCCGATCCTGCCCTCCCCCCCAGGAACGCAGCGTCCCCGTCCCTGTCAGCCCTGTCCCTGTCCAACCTGCGATTCCCGACACCTGCCTGAGAATCGAGTGCCGGAGACGGAGAGCCAACAACTACCTGTTTCAGCTTCTGGGTGCTCCTGGCTCTCGGGCCGGCAGTACTTCCCAAAGGCCTCCTCCTTGGGGATGTCGGGGTACAGGTAGACCAGTGGGGACACCAGGATGTTGGTGGCGTCCATGATCTTATAGCCCATGATGATCTCGGCAAACGACATGTTGTTTAGCTGCTGCTTGGTGTACGGCTCCACCGACTGGATCTGGGTCTTACCTGCCACGGGACACAGGAAGGGAGGACAATGGCCGGGCCACCTCGGAGAAAGCTGCAGCTTCCTCCTGCCCCCGAAGGGAAAGATGTGTGCAGGGCCTGGCACTGCGGAGAAGCTCAGGCTGGCCTTGAGCTGACAGAACCCTCCTGCCTCGGCCTCCTGAGTGCTGAGAGCACAGGCCCACACCCAGCCAGGCGGGCTCTGTGAAAAGCTATCTGGGTGAGGGGCAGTAATAATCTTGCAGGAGCCATATTAACAGGAGAGCCAAGGAAGGAGCCGCAGACCAGGGTTCCAGCAGTGCAGGTGAGGCAGTCTCTCGGCGGGGACCCCCAAGCCAGGCAGCGGAGCGCCGAGGCCAGCCTGTCCTCCAGGGGGCGCCGCTCACCGCTGATGTCCTTCTCCACCCAGGTGAAGGTGACACCGCCCTCCTTGCTGCTTTCGCTGAAGCGCAGCAGGAAGGTGCCTGGTGGTTTGGTGCTCAGGATGGCGCGCTCCCGCTCCTTGCTGATGAAGCCCATGATGTACCTGACCGGAACAGGCATCAGGGACCCAGGACGCCCCACTGGGCCGGGCCGCCCACCAGCCCGCCCTAGTCGCCTGCGGGCAGCCTACCCCTCATTCCACAAGGCCAGGATGTACTTCTTCACCAGGTCGATGATGTTGTCCAGCCAGACCCAGAAGGAGAAGCCCTTGCCCGCCATGTTCTCCTGCAGGGGACAAGGGACACAGCCGTCCCACTGTCCGCCCCACACCAGGCCCCCACGGCCCAGGGAGGCACCACAGGCCACTTTACCTTGCAGAACTTTGCCCACGTGATCTGGCACCCCGAGTAGTTCACGCCGGGTCCTGAAGGGAACAAGAACAAAGTGGAGATTTTCAGCTTAGACCGAGACTGACTTTTAGTCTTGAGACAGGGTCTTGCTAAGTTGCCTAGGCTGGCTTTGACCTCTCCACCCTCCTGCCTCAGCCTCCAGAGTGGCTGGGATTACCAGCATGCATCACTGTGCCCGGCTCAAGGCTTTTCCTTTTTGTGGTAGCCAGGATGGAAACCAGGGCCCTGGCAGCAAGTTCCATCCCCAGCCCTTATTTTCAATTCTGAGACATGAACTGGCTAAGCCGCTAACTTGCACAGGCTGAGCTTGAACTTTTGATCGTCCTGCTTTAGCTTCCCAGAGTGCTGGGACCCCTGGCATGTGCCAGCGGGCTGGCTTCAATTTCCTTCTTCCTGGGGCCGGGGATTTAGTCAGTGGTGCCGTGTCTGGCTTGCGCGTGCAAGTTCCATCCCCTGTATCACCAAAAAAAAATTCCTTTCTCCGAAGACACATTTGTCCCAGGATGGGCCGTGGGCCACTGTTTTCCATGTTTTCAAAGGCTGTCACCATCATCTACCAGTGCGCACAAGTGTACAAATCCCACACCCACTGCAACCTCTCCCCCAGCTATTGTGTCGCGGGCAGACGGCACATGAGAGGCTCTGGCTGTGTGCCGGTGGGGGGCAGAGCACAGGCTGACAAGGGATAGCGGGGCTGGAGGGCAGCACAGGACAAGGCTGCTGCTAGCCGAGGTGAACAAGGAACATTCTGCCGGGCGTGGTGGCGCATGCCTGTAATCCCAGCTCTCGGGAGGCTGAGGCAGGAGGATCGCTGTGAGTTTGAGACCAGCCTGGGCTGCACAGGGAGTTCCAGGTCAGTCTCAACTACATAGTGAGACCCTGTCTCAAAAAACAAACAAAACCAAAAAAAAAACAAAACAGAACAAAAAACCCAAAGAACATTCTACTCGTCTATTGAAAGGAGAAAAATCAGACTAAGCCAGGTGTGGTGGCGTACACCTGTGATCCCAGCACTAGAGAGCCTGAGGCAGGAGGATCGCTGTGAGTCTGAGGTCTGCCTGGGCTACGTTAAAAAACAAACCAAAGGGGCCAGGGATTTAGCTCAGTGGTGCCACCACTTGCCTCACCAGCATAAGGTCCCGAGTTTGATTCCTAGTACCACAAACACCATAGACCAGCCTGAGGCCACTGGAGAACGGAGGCTGTGGCGCCACCCAAGACGGCACCACCCCGCCCCGCCCCTCCCGGGCGGCCCGGGAAGAGCCAGACTCTGAGGCTGCGCCCGGCCACACACCCAGGAGCTTCTCGGCCAGCGTGGTGAGCTGCTCGATGCTCAGGCCGCGCTTGGTGGTGGAGGAGAACTGCCAGCTCAGCACCTCGGCCACCTGGTCCCAGGTCCCGATCGGGGGCTTGGTGAAGAAGTTCACGTTCTGCGGGGAAGGACATGGGCTGCTGGGTGGCCGCGGTGACGGCCGGAGGGCGCGGGTGCTGCGGGCATGGTGTGGGCTCACCTTGGGGTTGTTGGTCAGCATATTGTACCACAGGATAGACGCCCAGGCGTTGGGCATCTGGCAGATGTTGGAGATCACCACGACGGGCAGCGAGTGCG